CCAACTAGGATCCCTTCCCGTTTTTCATAAAACTAAGAGAATTAGAAACCGAAATTCAAAGTTATCTAATTCAAGAAGTTCCGCGTTATAAGCTCATTCCTTTAGATTCTGAAGTTGATTACCCTAATTTTAATTCAATTAATAAATCCGATTTTCGTTATAAAGTTTAAAAGAAATTACGATATATTTTCGGTTTAGAATAATCACAAGGTCTAGTTCAATCCCGGGTAAAGTACTTAAATGTATTGTTCCAAAAACGGATGGAATTTTTTTTGTCAGTTCGTGACAATATATGTGTATGTCTGTACTTTAGTATATTGTATGTAGGAGATTTTGGGCCGTAGGGCCAGTATTGATGAGAGATCGAGGAAATTAGCATAGTAGTGGAGCAATCGTGCTTAGGGTAGCAGCCTAAGTGCTAGGCGTGTGAGCGAAGGATCCCGAGTGTTCGAGTCCCGGTCGGCTCCGTTAATTTTTCCCGTCGCTTACATGTAAATTTAATATACATAAACATTGGTATTCCACATAAACTTACCATAATTCTCAGTGGTACCGCTGAAAGAATCGCTTAAACTTTGCGCTCCTCTGTAACTGAAGTAATAATACCAGACTGGATTTTGATTTACTCCAGCTTGCATTCGCGCGGCCTTCTCGCTATCGACCACGAAGAAGCGATCACTCGACATTTGTATCAGTTCTTTTGTACTCTGTCGATCGATCGGTTTTGTACCAAAGTAATGTGTCTTGATGAGACGAGCAATTTCGATATGTTTCTCTTTGGGGATGGTATAGTTAAAATCAAGGAAGTGCGGCCCAAGAATATCCCAATTGTCGTTCAGCTCTTTCAAATTTTGATCCACAGCAATAAACTCTGCGATAAATTAGTATTCATAACTACCTGTATATTTATTAAGGGGAGAACAATTTTCTTATTATTCTGCGCATTATTTTACCAGCTACGGGATAGAGGCCTTCTTCGCTCGTTACTCCCGTAACCCAGGGTACGTCTTGAACGTCACTGCTATTAATGATTTCAACGGGCGTTCTGTCGATGAAGGGTGCTTCATCACCAATCTTCTCAACTACCGGACCGAAAGGAGTGAAGGGATTGTATAAGAACGGCTAAAATCATAAAATTATAAATCAGATTTCTAAAAAATTTTCCACATCCTAGGGTCACATTTGTTGTTCTTGTTTCAAGACAATAAAAAGAGCAGCAAATTTTACCATAAATTCACTTGTAGCCTGGACGATTGCGCGGGCTGGACGGTATCTCAAACAACGTATCATATCTCTGGAGCTGGTGGTAGGGCATCCCATCAAAGCGCCCAATTTCTTGGCCTTCTCTAAGGCGTTCTCCGTTTGCGTCCAACAATCAAACGCTGTACCGCTGAATGATATGCCACCTATATTATATAAAATTGTTGCATATTTGTTTAATGTAATAGGTGAAACGCCTTTTAGTCTTCTCATTGATTTTTGTGTCGTCTTGGAAAAATACCTTTAAAAAGATTCGCGCTCAGTTGCGATAAGTAATGATAATGCACACTTGCACCACCGGCACTCAAACCGACCAAGGTCACTTTCTCCGGGTCGCCACCGAACCATTCGATGTTCTCCGATACCCAGCGAAGTGCCATACTTTGATCCTTCAGACCCATGTTGCCAGGAACTACTTCATCTTCCGTGCTGAGAAAACCTGTTTTTTCAAAATTGTTTTAAAATATCGAAAACATAAGGCAATAATCAAAACAAACTTGTACAGCTAATTTAAAATTGAGTATTATAGATCAAATCTTATTGTTTCAAAACACTTGACCAGATACATTTTAATCAACATTTAAATTATTAAACGTGTGATATATCAGAATCGGCATCAAATCTGTATTCTTTCTGTCGACAAGTTTTGTAGCAGATACTTTGCAAGATCTGCTCTCGACAGACTCGGCTGCAAACTGTCTGGGAATAATATGCTCTCTCTCCTCTCTCTCTCTCTCTCTCTCTCTCTCTCTCTCTCTCTCTCTCCTGATTTAACATAAATTATATAGTTCAAATATTACATACCCATTGGTCCCACCCGATAATTA